CACAACGTGAATGGTTGTCAGAAATTAGATCAAAGGATTACAGTTTGATTAGGGTTAGGACTGTGCGTGTCATATCGTGTAAGGTCTGTAACATGGCACGTATGTACTACTCAGGACGAAACTGCAGCACGCCACATACATATATAGTATATATACATCTACATACGTACATATGTTCAGTTTCTCAAATAGATTCCCGACCCACTTGACATGCGCACGTGCAAAATTTAAATTTTCAATATGCTGTGCCAACTCTCTTTATAGCGGCTAGACAACAAAAACAACAATTTCACAATTTTCTAAAGAATTAATTTATATTTCTAGGTTGTGTAGTTTTAATTCTAGTCTCGTTACATCCAAACTTGTACAGTGGAATTTGAAATATAAAAGTTTTTCTTCGTGCAGATTAAAATGACAGGTTTCAGGGAAATGCAAAGATTCTGAAATAAACTGCAAGGTAGTCGAGCTTTTAGACAGGATTTCAAATCGAATTTCAGTTAGAACTTAGTTACATGGCAATTGAGTTAAAATATTTTTACACGAATTATTTTATATGTCCCGTCTCATATCATTCTATCATTGTGCTCGTCAGGATTTGACATCTGAAGCTTAGTTCAAAGTTCAAGATATTTAATTCAAGATTGCGGATTTAGAGAACGCTTTTGTATGCTTCGATAAATAAATTAGATTAACCCCGAAAAAGTTAAAATTGTTTATATCTGTCAAACTGTGAACGTCTAGCAGGCGAGAGATATTCATAGCACGTACATTAATTTAATTTTCGCAGTCTGTGTTTACTTTATAAATGAGTCAAGAATCGTTTTAACGGGATAAACTCCAATATCGGTGCGATAAGGCGAAATGTCAATGTTACCTACAAAATTAGCCAAGAATATGAGTTTACAGGGCCACGTGTAGCCCATAAACTCATATTTTGCACTACTATTGTCTGGTTATCGAAAAAAAAAAACAAAAAATGTCAAAATTTTACTGACACGTGTTAGAAAAATCACGTGACTACCCTAGCCCCTTAAGTAGTTGTATGATGAGATTTCCGTTATATGTATATTATATTAAGAATGTGCAAGAGTACAAACAATATCGAAATGAATATTTTATTCGAAGACGAATATAAAGAGTCTGAATACATGGAATACACATGAATATTCACAATATAACTTTCGAAAATAAAGAGGAAACGGTTACTGGTCTCAATTCTCACGCGACGAACCAATAAATTTATTCCAACTCAGGATATTGAGGTGTTGAATAATAATGATGTTGCTCAATAACTAGCGACATTCAGCATCCCTGTTCAATTCGCTTGTTATTCTGACGGACACATCGTTTCATGAGACGCACCGAGAGAACGAGAAGAGCGCGTGACATTTTGCTGGAGATATTTCTAGTCAGTGGTATTTCGTTGCCGAGTCGAATGTGATCAATACCGGCACGCAATGCAATTTAACATCATTAAGTAACTTAACTTAGCTACGTAAATAAATGTCTGTAATAATTAACTGGGCTGGATTTTGTCTCTGGGAAACCTATTTTTCACTCAACGTTTATTTTAATCTCATCCACGTACGAAATAACTTCAAAAAAGAATACATGAGTTTAGCAACTCAGTCGTCGGGAAGTTATTTTTTGCTCGATAATTGATCCATTAGTATAAGATTTACAACGTGAAGGGACTGCAAAAATAATATCATTGATTTTTATATAATTTTTTATGTTCATACCTAGATTCGATTAAAATAAATAGTTCTCCAGAATCAAAGTTTAATCATCTGCTGGATTACAATTCTCGCAATATGAATGAAGATAAAATTAAATAAAGAATTTTTGGCTAAATAAGTAGTGCTTAAGCCTCACCGTTCTTATTTTGGCTGAGGCTTAAAAGTGCTCAGAGACAGAACAGATTCACACTCTTCCTTAAGATTTCGTCTGACGACTGTAAAGTGAAGAGTCCTAGGGTTAAACGATGCGTCGTTCGAAAGGCAGTCACGGTAGTGAATGAATGGATGAAAACCAGAAGAGTAGTATGGTCGGGACCGGGCTGGGAATTAAATAGAGTCACGTCACATGAATTTTCATCATTTGTCGGGGAACACTTTTCGCGCGACTCATTAGGTCGGAAGAACCGTGCCTTTGCCTTCTATTTCTATCGCTCTCGGCCGAAGCAATAAAGATTAGCGTGCCGCTTTAAATTAAAAATGATGCCATGCCGCTTTAAAATTTTTCGGATAAATGCCAGCTAAATTAGGGGACGAGACGAAATATTCTTTCGGTTATTATTAACCGATAACTCATTTCACCTTCACGTTCGTACAGTGAAACTCGTATTTTTTTATGTAAATAACTGTTTCATTAATCAGTGATAAATTTTTTTAATCAATATCTTTTTTTCGAGGATGTTTTTCTTGCATTCGTCTACGAATGTAAAAGATCTTCTTCCTTACAGCGTGTCGATTGTCTCTGCAAATAATTCGCACCCACAAGAGATTTGTATTTTACTAGAACGAAGATTGCACGCGACGTGTACGAGAATCAGCAATGGAAACTTCTTTCATATTGTTTACATCATAATTTACCGCATATTGCTTTAGAAAATTTCATCACCGCTTCGTATTATCTTACGCAAAGTAAACTCCTACTGCAACTTTGTTGCAGTACTTACGGAACATGAACACAATTTTGCTTCCGCATCTCGAATCGAATTTACAGAGCTTGGAAATGTGTTGCGCATAGCAACGCGCTCAGCTATGCCGAATAAAGTGGTAGAAACAATTTTCACGATGGAGGAACGAATTTTCTAGCCGTCGTATTATCTTCTGTCAATCATTTGAATGGCTGCGTCGAATATTATATTTATGTATATGTTAAAATCTGAACTGCGATAGTGCTATATTAATATGTTGAATGACGAACTAATTTATCGCTACTGACGTAGTTTACTCAACGACAAACACCTTAAATCTATCTAAATAGAAACAATCTTACTCATTTTGAACTCTATCCCTACCTCCTCATCCTATCCCAATTTTTCCTTTTCTACCCTCTTTTATCCATTAGATCCCGATTATTCATAGCGACTAGTTGTAAAACAACCAAAATTGTACAATGAGACAGATTTACGAAATACGCACTTGCGTGCAAAGCTGCACCGTCTAATAGAATTCCTCGAGTTTCAACTTAAGAATTGTTGTATTTAATTTCGAACTTGGAGTTCGACAAATATACGATTGATCTAATGTATTGATTTAGCCGTGCGTCGTTCAAAATCAGGGAAATTTGTATTCTTTTATGATTCATCTGTTCCCACGATGGATATGATTTTTTCGCGTGTGCAAATGCAGTCAAAGTCTCGTTTCCGAAGAACCGTAATCACGCGATGCTGGAAAAAGACAGGCGGTGTGAGCCGAGAATAAAAATGGATAGGGTGTAGCTATTCTAACGGAGATGTGATCAAAGTACGAATACGCGCCATTGCACGTATGCACCCGGAGCGCGGATGCAAGTATCCGTAGTTGATGCGCCGCGTAGTACGTTCTGCAACCGAGCGACCGAGAATGATCTATTCAAGCATCCAGGTCGACGACGGTATTTCTTTTTCATCCTCGGGTTCAGGTATCGCGAAAAATTGCTGAAACCTCGGCACACGGTCTACTTTAAGATCGGCACACTTCTGACAATATACTACCAAATAGTTCTGCTCCTTTTGGTGCAAACCGGAAAAGTAGTTTCGGAAAAAAAGGGTGAATACGTTTTTTGGTACTTATAGCGAGGAACACCATGAATATTTTGTGGCGAAGGAAACTATTTCTCTAGACTGAATTAGATGTGACAAAATCCTTTTGAATCACTTTCGAATTTTACTTCATGGTTAATTGATGTTAAGAAGAATATCACGAAAAAATTGACTTAGTCTAGAGTAGTCACGTGATTTTTCTCGGTAAATTAACGTTTTTTATTCTGTTTCACTAATAACTAGACAAAAGTAGTGGAAAACATGAGTTTACATTCGATTGTATATCTTCTCTCAAAATTCATTTTTTGTTTCTATGAATATCGCGATTATTAATTTTTATATTTTAAAAAGAAGCTATCTCGTTTAACTCTTTACCAATAATTCACATTCTGCCAGGAACGAGCCGTGATTGCGAACAATGCGAACTAAATAGCATGTCAAATGAATTTCAACTCGCAATCCAAGTTATTATTGCATTCCCGGTATGTGCATATAATAGTATTGTAAACTATAATTCTCTTCACCGTAATAGCCATTTGGCTACAATATAATGCTCTTTGACGCGACACAGAATTTCAAAAGTACATATTTCTGCTGTATTAAAGCTGACATTATTTATGATATTTTTATTATATATGATATATATATGATATTTTATATTAACTGTATATTAATTCGAATTTCTGTTGGGATTAATTATTTCAGATTAACGAGTACGATTAGCTACGTTGATTTTAGTTAAATTAAATCAGTACATCAGAACGAAACAGAGGCAATGAAATAATACTAATTTTAAACTACAGAAATTTTGTAGTAGATTTTTAATATAAGCCCGAAAAAAGCAAATTTTAAACAATAAATATTTTAGTTAGAATTATTGAAATATTTTAATTTTTCTTAATTGTCATTCCTACCTCTAGCCCCTAGTGAATTAGTATAAATGTATTTTATTTTAATCACGTTCTAGAAAAGCATTAACATCGGATTAGGTTTTTAATAGTACCCATACCGTCGAAATTGTTTGTTTTTCCAATGAAACAAATACACACATTTCCATCACTGCAATTCATAAAAGTTACGAAATACTCCTTGAACACAATTGAAAATTGTTAACTAATTTACAGAAAATCCTTGACATAGTCAAATTTGTCAAAGGTTTGTTGAGCGAGTTTATTCATTGGAAGTTCATCGCCGTTTATTAAATGTTAGGAAGACGACGGACTTTCATCACTCATGTTTGGACTTTCAGAGGCAGTAACGGCCGGTTGCGTCCTGCTGTAATCAACGGAATATCAGAAGCTTCGGGGGATGCGAAAGCCGGTGGATGCTGAGGATGTCGATGAGACCGTCCTGGGGGCCGAAGTTGTTTCTCGTGCTGATCGCGACCACGATCGTTATCGGCAATTATCAGCGTCATCGCGAGAGAACTCATTTGCGCGAGCAACTCGTTAACGGCAGTAAAGCAACGAAGAACATCACGCGCTTACAGGGTGAGTACTGGCCAAATGCTATTTCAATTATAGTTTCATTTGATCAATTAGTCAATCAAGATTTAGAGATATTATTGTTACGATAAAAATAATTAACTCTTTTGTTACTGTTGATTATTGTCACTGTGTCACGTGTACAATGCTGTGGATGAGATATTTCGCGTTACAATGTTCGTTACTCGGTGCCATGGTTCAGATGTCTCGGATCGTAATTTGTATTATGGGATGCTAGAAATTAATGTACAGTAGAACGTCGATTATCCGGGTGATGGTTTGCCGAATTGTTGTTTAATTGAATATTCCATTATCCGAAAGGAAAATGAACTTATGTATGTATGTACGCATTATGTATGTAAACTATGTATTTGACGACTTTTACATTTTGGAACACGCATAGTTTGTGTTTAATCTCTTATTTCAATGTTCAGAAGGCAATCATCCTCGGTAGCAGAAGAATTAGTTCAGTACATATGATGTGGTTAGTCTTTTGCGACTTTACCTAGTACAAATTATTTTCCACTAGTTTCAATTCGAAAGGGGTTCAAGGAAAAGTAGAAAGTAACAAAGCGGTTGCAATTTAGCACCGAGTTCTTCATTTGTTTTAAGCACCACCAATTTTTCTGCGGTAGTGGAACATGCCCGAGCTACACTGTTTTGAGTTTTATTTCGAAATTCAAGAGTAGTTTACGTAACACGAAAGGGAAAACAACAACATGTATATTCCGTTTTTCGAATTTTGTCTTTTTACAGGTCTCGATTTATTTTTAAACATATTAACCGAACCTAACAATATAACGTTTGAAATTTAATTAGATTAAAAGATAAAATAGCTT